AGTCGGTCCGCCCTCCACCCCGGGCTCAGGCGAGGACCTGGGGTTCCTCTCTCCTCCTCACACCGAGAGGCCCTCAGCAGGACCTGTGTTCCCCACCCCCATGCACACTCTAAACAGGCTGCTTCCTGACCCCTCCCCCCTCCCCCTTATCGAGTTGTCGCGCATTCCCACCATGGCCATGGGGTGGCAGCATCGGCGCGTGTCTCCTGGGCCCCAGCCCCCCTCCTCCCACCTCCCAAGGAGTGTGCAAAACAAACTTTTCCGGTTTAAAAAGCAGGCAGTGGGGGAGATGAAAACTCAGAACCACTGATTTTATGGCAAAAAGGGATGAGGCCAATGGGTGAAGAATGTCAGGGAGCCGGTAAGACTGGGAGGCAAGAGGTTCAGGTCCCGCCCATTTGGGGGGCCTCAGTTTCCCATCTGTGTGTCTCGATGGGGGGTGGGGAACACCGAGGCCTTATTAGCCCCTGCCCTCCAGTTACACGTGGCTGTTCACTGTTCCCTCCTTGGATTCGCCACCTCCCAGCTTTTGCACAGGCCTGCCAGGCATGCGCTCAATGGGGGCACCCCCTCCTATTCTTCAGGGCTGGGCTCCAACCTGAGAAGGTGGCCCAGACAGTGGCAGGGCCAAATGGACAGACAGGGGAGGATGCTAGAGCGGCAGCCTCATGAGAAAGACCTGGGTGACCTGACTCCCCTCAATTCTAGAACCTTCCATCTCCATGCCCCATAGTGGACCCTCCCACGCCCCCATGCCGGCAGTCCCAGTCTTAGGCCCACCCAGTAGCACAGGTCGCAGTTTGGCTGCAGGCTTACCCCCAAGCACAGCGCTCTGGATCCAAGGAGCAGGAGTTAGACATTTATTGAGCACTGCCTAGAACTCTTGCTGAAGTGAATGGGAAAAGGAAACCCTACTTCCATGGGGGGAAGGCTGAGCCTACCTCGGAGAGAAGCCTGCAGGGAGTACAGTGGGACAGAGAGATGGGTCCCTAGTCCCTGGATCTAGCCATGGATTTTTTTCATCAGGTTCCCTTTTTGTTGAAGCTACTTGGAGTTCTGTTTCTGCTGTGAAGAAATGGACAGACAGGACGTTCCTGTCTGAGCCTCTGCTTGCCCGTCGGTAAAATAAATAGGAAGGAGTTCAGAGGGCTGGCTGTGGTCCCTGCCTCAATGGGTTGGGTAACCCTGCTTAGCAGAGCCCTGATCCAGTGTTCATTGAGCACCTGCTGTGTAGTCATTAACCTGAGCTCTTCTGAGTGTTGTTCCTTCAGCTCCTCCCAGCAGTTCCAGAGTCAAAACTGTGGTAGAACTCATTTCACAGCATTCATTGATTCAGGAAGTCAGTGTTGAGCACCTACTGTATACCAAGTCCTGTCCTGCACAGCTCCCATCATGAGGGGCTCCTGGTTGGGTGGGGAAGGCAGATGCTAATCTAATCATCATACAGAGTTATAATAACCCTTAGAAGAGTGACAAGTTAAAACATGAAGAATGGGCATGAGGAAGGGCTTCCTGGAAGAGGTGGTGCTAGGGCCAAGAGGGTGAAGAGAGGCCAGAACAGCAAGATCAAATGCCCTGAAGCAGGTGAGGCTGGTGCAAGCGGGTGAGGGGGAGACAGAGGTCACAGCTCAAGGGCTGGGGAGCACCTATGGGTTTATTCTTAGCCTGGGGGTGGAAGTGTCCTGGAGTAGGGAGTCAAGACTGGATTTGTGACTTGTTGAGATTCTTCCAGAGCAGTTGATTCAGCTTTGCTGGCCTGGGTGTTCTGGCTGTAAAATGGATAAGGTGACCACTCCAGAGCCCTTGCCCCCTGCTCACCTCTACTCTATCTCTTTCTGTCTTGGGCTGACTCTCACTTTCACCATGGTTCCCACTGTGAGTGAGGAAGCTTGTCTCCATCAGGGAGACAGGCTGCCTCAGTTTACCTCCACAGATACCTCCCTCCTCTGTCTCTCTGGTGAGTTCTGAGTTTGGTCAGAGAGAGAGAGAGGTTGTGTCTGCCTCTGCCCTCAAGCCAGGATGAGGCTGGAGTGTCAGAGGCCTCTGAGGACCATGGGTTACAGGAGATGACATGGACAGCCCTGGCCAGGCCTCTCACACTTCACAGCCTGGGTCCCAGCTGCCAGCAATGCTCTTCCCCCAACTGGGTGCCTTTGCCAGGTCCTCCCTTTTTTGTGTGTATTTTTAAGAATATATATAGACATGCCATACAAATCATCCTTTTAAAGCGAACAGTTCAGTGGCATTTAGTACATTCACAATGTTGTGTAACCATCACCTTCATCTAGTTCCAGAACATTCTATCATTCCAAAGGAGACCCTGTCACCATGAGCAGTCACTCCCCATCCTTCTCCCCCAGCCCCTGACAAGCACTAATCTGCTTCCTGTTTCTATGGATTTGCCTTTTCTGGCCATTTTATATAAATGGTATCATACACTGTGTGGCCTTAAAAAAAAAAAAAAGTTTTTATTGATTTTAGAGAGAGAGGAAGGAAGATGTAGAGAGAGAGAAGCATCTGTCGGCTGCCTCCCACAGGCACCCTGACCAGGGGTTAAACCCAAAACCCAGGCATATGCCCTGACCAGGAATTGAATCGGTGACCTTTTGGTGCACGGGACAACACTCAACCAACCGAGCCACACCGGCTGCCCAGTGTGATGTTTTTGAAGTTGATCCATGTTGTAGCGTGTTGAGTGCTTCATTCCTTGTATGGCTGAATAATATTCCACTGTGTAGATGTGTTACTATTTATTTATCCATTCATTCATCAGTGGACATTTGGGTTATTTCCACCTCTTGGCGATTGTGACTCCTGCTGCTGGGAACACGGTGTACAAGTTTTGGTGTGAATGCGTTTTCATTTTTGTTGACCCAGATCTAGGAGTGGAATTGCTGGGTCATATGGTGACTCTTTGTGTAACTAATCGGGGGACCTCCAGGTTGCTTTCCAGAGCAGCTGCGCTTTCACATTCCATCAGCAGTGCAA